TCCAGAATCTCAATATCCTTTACAGATTAACAGAGTTGATCTTGTAGGACATCTAGTCCAACCCCCCACCCAAGCAGGAGACCCTACACCATTTCTGACAGATGGGCAATTCAGTCTCTTGTTGAAAGCCTCCAGGGATGAAGCTCCCACAACTTCCAAAGGCAACTTCTGTTCCATGGGTTGATTGTTCTCTGTCAGAAAGTTCCTCCTTAGTTCTAGGTTAAATCTCTCCTTGCTCAGTTTCAATCCATTACTCCTTGTCTGGCCCTTCGGGTGCTTTGGATAATAGCCTGACCCCCCTCCTCTCTGTGGCAGCCCCTCAAATATTGGAAGGCTGCTATCCTGTCTCCCCGCTTCCTCCCTCTGCACAACTGCACTCCAAAAACCAGAACAGAGAAAAGTGGGGGGAGGCAGAAAGATGCCGGGGAGCAGCTGGATGGGAGTGGGGGTGAGCATCAAGACCGAGGGACAGAGGAACTGGAGGAAGGCGGTTATGCCTGCCAACCTCACCATCACAACCGCAAAACACTCCCCAACTTTTACTGCTGGGGCTGCCGTCCCTCATCAGCCAAAAGCCCCTTTTAGAGCAAGCAGAAGCACAGTTCACAGTCCTGACAATGGAGCAGAAGCCCCAACCCAACTTAGTTTGTTCTTACTTTTCTGAATCCAGGGCGATCAAGGCGCTCTCCAAGGTTTCTTTGACAGGCCCTTGGGATAAACCGGCCGGAGGTGGCTTAGGAAACAGCGATATCCCGGCCAAATCAAACACCTCGGTGGACACATTCTCGGTTCTCCCTTCTTCGGGTTGCTGCGGGGCAGGCCCACTGAAACTGAACCCAAGAGAACAAAAACACCCGGGGTCAAGAAACGCACGTCTTTTTTCCTAGTGGGAAATCATCACGCGACCGCAACTCTACTTTCCAGTTGTAAAGATACAGGACTACCCAGTTTCAATGTTTACTTTGCCTCCTCCTCACACCTCCACCCTTCGGGACGCTCGAATGCCTGCTTGCTGTCTTCTACACCTTATACTGGAGCGTATGGAAAACATCCTAGATATAAATTAAGAAAGGGAGGGAAGGAGGAAGATGGGAGGGAAAGAAGGATGGAAGGAAGGAAAGATGAGGGAAGGGAGGGAGAGAGGAACGAAAGGAAGGAAGGAAAGGAGGGAGGGAGGGAGGAAGGAAGATGGGAGGGAAGGAAGGATGGGAGGAAGGAAAGATGAGGGAAGGAAGGAGCAAAGGGAGGGAGGGACAAAAGAAGAAAAGATGATGGAAGGAAGAGAGGAGGAAGGGAGGAAGAGGAGAGGGAAGGAAAGATGAGGGAGGGAAAGAAGGAAGGAAGGAAGGAGGAAGGTGGGAAGGAAGGAAGGAAGGAAGGAAAGATGAGAGAAGGAAGGAATAAAGGGAGGGAGGGACGAAAGAAGAAAAGATGAGGGAAGGAAGAGAGGAGGAAGGGAGGAAGAGAAAAGGGAAGAAAGGAAAGGAGGAAAGGAAGGAAGGAATGGAGGGAGGTGGGAGGGAAGGAAGGATGGAAGGAAGGAAAGATGAGGGAAGGAAAGAACAAAGGGAGGGAGGGACAAAAGAAGAAAAGATGAGGGAAGGAAGGAAGAGAGGAGGAAGGGAGGAAGAGAAAAGGGAAGGAAGGAAAGGAGGGAAGGAAGGGAGGTGGGAGGGAAGGAAGGATGGAAGGAAGGAAAGATGAGGGAAGGAAGGAAGAGAGGAGGAAGGGAGGAAGAGGAGAGGGAAGGAAGGAAAGGAGGGAAGGGAGGGAGGAAGAGGAGGGAAAAAAGGATGGAACGAAAGATGAGGGAAGGAAGGAGCAAAGGGAGGGAGGGATGAAAGAAGAAAAGATGAGGGGAGGAAGGAAGAGAGGAGAAGGGAGGAAGAGGAGAGGGAAGAAAGGAAAGAAAAAAGGAGGGGAAGGTCAAACAAGTGGGGAAAGCCGAGACTTACCTTCCAGTGGTGGTGTCAGCCTTCCCTTCCGAAGCGCCCGCTTTCTCCTTCTCCGACGGCAGAAGCAGCGTGGAAGTGGTGTCCGCCTTGGCCACCGTCACCTCTTTCGCCTTGGGGGCCTCCTCCCCACAGTGGGGACAGTAGCTCATGCCTTTGACGTGGGAAGTACACTCCTGGTGGAACCGGTGGGAGACGCCGCTTTCCGGCTGGCATTCCATGAAAGTGCCCTGGAAGGAACGGCAAAGGGCAAAAATAAGAACGCCTTGACTTACGCCCGACGTTCTGTGGCTAAGCGAGAGACATTTGCTAGGCGAGCTTTGCCCCGCTTTTACGGCTTTCCTCAACCACGGTGGCGAAGTGGAAATGGGCGCGGTTGGTTCAGTTAATCCCGCAGAGCCGTTCAGCATATCCGGCTCCTCCATTGGACTTGATCGGTAAACGTGACACATATACACACCCACGGGAGGGGGCGGGACGACACACCGCAAGTGTCCTGAATGTGAGTCAAGTCGCCAAGCGGCTGAATTCTGATCACATGATTGTGGGTGGCGGGAGGGAGGGGGGGACAGAACACTGCCACATTAAGTCGCTTTTTGTCAGGGGCATCGTAAACTTCGGAATAGTCGTTAAACGAATCGTGGTTAAGTCCAGGACTGCCTGGCTAGACAGCATCACTCGGGGGAAGTGGAAAAATGGGTATTTGGGGGGCGGGGGGAGAGAGTGGGGACTGGCACGACTCGGTGGGGCGG